TCTGGTTTATCGACGAAGGTCGCCATGTTAATCTTTGTCAATCCACGTAAAGAATGTCACATCATGGCGTATAAAGTCACATATGGACTCGGTTCCTTCTTGTCACAGGTAGCCGCATATAGACACAAATAGTAACACTTTAAAACAGGTAGTGACACAATAAGTCCCATGACACAGTCGCATATGGACAGAAATATTCCCACAATGATAAGGTATATAACGAGATAGTCACATATGAACACAATAAGTCCCAAGACAAAGGAAGTCGCTTATCACCACATGGACGCAATAAGCCCCATTATGAGAGGTATTCACATATTTGCTCAGTTATAAGTCAGTAATTAAAAGGTGCTATTCACTTGTGAGTCTTTTGAACAATCTTTCATTGTGACACAGGTAGTCAGACATTGACAAAATTAGTTTCAATATGACACATTAAGACACATATTGACACAATTGGTCTCACCTTAAAACTAGTAGTCAATGACACAATCCCATTATGACAAGATATTCACATATTAACACAATAAGTTCCATGACACAGTCGCATATTATTTATCTTATTTAGCCACACATGGACAAGATTAGCCCCACAATGACAATAATAGCCATATATTGAGGTAATTAGTCCCACTTTGAAAGGTGGCAAATATTAACAGAGTAAGTGCCATGATACACAGCCACATATCAACACTATTAGTTACATCAAGGCTTATTTAGCCTCACGTGGACAAAATTAGTCCCATGCAATGTCACCTATGGAAACGATTCATCCCAACGTAAAACAGATAGTCATACATTGGCACGTTTAGGACCACAATGACACCCCCATGTATGACCACAATTAGTCCCACAGTGACCCAGGTAATCACTAATTAACACAGGTAGTCACAAATGAAGTCAGTCCCATCGTGACACATAGTCACCTACTGACTCAACGGATAGTCACGAATAACTTCATGAGTCATACTATAGGTTATCACACAATTAGTCAAATAATGCCACCGTTAGTCAGTTAACTACAATAAGTCACACCATGACACATTGACATAATAAATTACATCATGACACATGGAGGCATATAATGAGACAACGGAGTACGCAATGACACATGTAGTCACTTAATTTATGACACCGTGACACAGGTGGTCACATATGAGCACAATTAGTCCCATAATGACACAGGAAGCAACAAGCGAACACAATCAATCACACCATATAACAGATATTCGCATATTAACGTTGCACTTATTTACATTAAGACAAGTTAATTACATATTAACATAGTTAGTTACACAATGATTAGTGGTTTCATATTGGCACGATTGGTCACACATTGATACATAAAGTCACGATTTGACACAGAACGTACCAACCCTAAAAGCTGCCAAATAAAGTCAAAATCGACCCGTCATTCACTGACACCAGTTGTTGAGCATTGACACAGGTAATCTTTAACATCCAGAAAATGTTTTGAGAGAGAAAAAAAAACTTCGTTAGAAATTAATAATCGAATTAGAAAAGAAGTAGAAGAGCGTTACAGGTTTGATGGGTTTTTCATTAATATGATGTGCATTGTTAATTGAGAGAAATTCCAGGGAGAAAATCGATGTACTAATGATGAACTGAGATAGCCACGAGTGTATTTCTCTGTATATTATTTACCAATCTTTTCCTTTATTTGCTATGTGTAATAGGATTTTATTAGTCATGACTTGTGGATTGAATATAAAGTATCTTCTCAGGGATGCAAGCAAATGTGCTACATTTCGGGAATAATGCCTGTTTTTCATGTTTCCTGACTGAAATTATATTGTATGTCATTGTATGATGGGCCTTAAATAACCTGCGTACACCTAGGTAGAACATATATCGATATTTTCTAATATCTGTTGCATGAAAGGCATTATAAGCAGAAATACAAATAACATAATATAATTATATATGTGCTTTAAAAGAGTATTTAAAAGAGGACTTTCATCTCCAGTAGAAAATAACAGCAATAACTGTTCTCATAAAGTAAAGGGTGCTTTCTTCGACGGTACAATTTTTCGTGGTTTCAATAAAAGCTAAATGAAAAAATGAATGGCATATTCATGGAATATCACAAAATGGATGTCCGTTTTCTTTACTAATCTTATAAATTCAGCAGTAACTGCATTGTTTTCGTGGATTTCTAAAAAAAATCATAAAAAGGCGCAGAAGCTTGATATTCGTTTCAGAAAAGAAGTGACGTTGACCCTTTTTTATATCACCTCAGTTGAATTTCTGGAAACCACTTACACTATTTCTTGTGATAAACCAAAAGGCACCGAAGCATATTTGGTTGAAAAGTTCGTGCGCAAAAATTTACCTTGATCAATGTGTTAAAAATCTGAAAACTAATAGTTATTTGAAAGGCCCAGAAACACGGTGTTTGGCTGACTGAGTTTTATCATGGAACCTGGCGAAGGTTGTGAAACGATTGACCGTTATTCAAGGTCAATGTTACAACATTGAAACAATTTCTTCTGACTTACAAAAAGCTCATGAGCATGGTATTTGGATATAAGGATGAAACCAACAGTTTGCAAAAAGAAATATGAAGCCATATTCAAGGTCACAGGGGTCAATTTTTCGAAACCTTGAAGCTTTGTCTACTGATTAACCAGAAGGCTCTGAAGCATGCGATTTAGCAAGTTGGTTACTGGGGTAAAGGTCGATAAAATTTGCGAAAAGAAATGATCTTGACCCACATTCAAGATCAAAGTTGATTGGAGGTGCCCTCTGTAAATGGTGTACGTCTTAATGTGATGCAGGCCCTTTGGCCTCTTGTTTAACATTGTACAGAAGACATTCGAGTGCATATCAATTTACAATACTTCAGAATAAGTTACAGTAGAGCCAAATTATGAAGTAGGCAGCATAATACAGCTGTTTCGTCCTTGTAAGGCCCGTCAGTGATGGTTAACTATACTCTCTCTAAAAAAAACTGACATGACTAGAGAAAACCAAATTTGATTGAAATCAAAATCTAAATGGAGAGGCACACTAGCAGCATGATTCCATAAGATATTTGTCTTATAATTACAGAGACCATCATGTTCACATGTATAAACTGAACCATGCTATCATTGTAATCAATTTAAATGTGGCATGCAGTTTGTACAAACGACACGGACTATAAAAGAATATGTCAGTATTTATCTGTTGTTTTTGTTGTCACCAATTTTTTTCGACCATTTTGACCATTTCTATCATGAAAATGTCTTGTGACTCAAATTGACATAGAACTAAGATACATTATACTCCCTTTAGTTTTTTTGTAACTCCGAGAAAGATTTTTCAAATTTCTGTAAATTCACATTTCCTATAAGGTAAACGTAATTTTTCTTTGAATTTTAGACCCTATATTGCTATATTCAGTTCGATGACGCTCATACAACAATTTCTTTTTGTGCAAACATTGGACATAACACGAACACGGGTAAAGTAGGTTTAAATAGTGTTTAATTGCATGAATAAAAATCCACATAGCATCAACAGCTTACCGCGTCGCACCAACTGAACGCAAATTAGAACTGTAGCTTAAATTTACTTTGAAATAGTTTTTGATAAAAACACTTTTACTTTTTTACTCTGTGGACCCGATAAGCTGTACATGCTTTGTTCAAATAGACTTGGACATATATTACACTTATCCCAAAGATTATAGTGATTGCATCCGACATGAAACTGTTAATCAACTATCATCTAGAAATATATTGAGACCTGACGAATATATCATTAGACTTTGTTAAGATACATTCTATGTTAAGAAAAACTAACTAATGACAGTTTTTAGATATTTAGCCATGCGTTTTCATGAAATATGACATTATACAATTTTGTATATTTATAGCGCTTAATAATATGGATGACTTATATAATGAAAGTTTCCAAAATGATAACAATAAACTATTTTATTTCAGCTTCAACTGTTAATATTACAATGCTACTGCTTGTAAACAAACTTTAACTGACAAGCCAGCAATTCAAGGATTCATTTTGTGATACTATATATGTGAGAAGAGTTTTGTCGTGAAAGATTTTGCATTACGGTATATAACAAAATTTATATTCACTTTCTTGTCCTGTGAAATCTCACAATTACTATACCAGATGTTTTTTGATGACTTAAAGTTTTGCTATTTTACAGAAAGCTTGAAGCAAAAGGCAAAGTTTATCTGAAGTCTTCAAATGGGCTTGCCTATTTCTCTATTCGTATGCTGATTTTATGTATCTATATTTAGCAGTTTTTTGAAAAATCAATAATACACAGTGAAATCATGTTTACGGTTCACTAAGATACTAAAAGTAAATTTAAAAGGCAACTATAATATGAGCTAAGAAAAAAAATTATAATCAATTATAACAAGTGTACTATACAAAACTGTTAGTAGCATACAACAAATATTAACAAAACAAGTCAAAAATTGGAGCAGAAAACAGATCAGTATGGAATGAAAACAAAGGATTTGCTCTTGTATATAATACACATACTGTCCAAGAAGTAGTCATTATTGATATAGCTAAATTTCTTGTGTTTGTTATACAACGGAATCACCGAAAATGTTCTCCGATTCAAAACCTGTTTCTCTTACACAAATTGTATTCTATAAAATATGCATACATCTAAAACAATCTAATTAACATGAATGATTTCCCCGAACCACAAAGACAGATAAACAGTGACAATACCTTCATTAAAGCTATTTTCCTAGATTAAAACAAATCATATGAGAGTATTGTATATCAAATACAAATTGTGCTTAACTGTTACCAAAGATAGTCCCAATCTCGGTTAAATGGATGGAGTTGTTATATTAAATATGCTGGTGATGTCCTCATTTTCCTTTTATCGATTTCCGAGGTTCAACCGCCTTTGTCGACATATAGGTATACGATAAGTATGGTTTTGATATAGTCTTCACTTTACATGTTGTTATGAATTTGATATGAAATATTGTCTTCCTTGAAGATTAAGCACTTGTTTCATCAGAGGAATTTTTTTGTCCTTTTTTGTTATCGTCTCCGTCCTCACACATACAGGCGATAAACTCTGTAGACACAAAATTCAAAACATCAGATGCCCAATTGTTAAACTAAAGATCGCTTTATTGTTATATATACGTTTGAAAATTTAGTTATAAAAACAAGACTACATCAAACATGCTGAATCACTTCTCTAATTGCATGTTACAATATCAAACCTTTTTCATCAGTCAAGAGATTCTCAAGATAATCTTATCACATGTATTCCTTGTTATTTTATGAATATATACATGTAATATCGTTTAGCGTTTCACTTCTGTGTTATGAAACCTTTTGTGACGCCAGGTTTAGATAATGAGATGTTGTCTTATAATCTCAAATTACACTGTGAATAAAGCTTGACGCCGAAATGTAAGTTTTTGACAAAATGTGCCTTACTCATCGGTCGTGCGATAAAAAAAAATTCTAGTTCATTTTTCTTTCTGTTTACCTTCGAAATCGATCCTTCCATCACCGTCAATATCTACCTCTGCTATCATCTCATCAACTACAATTCAAGGACGATAATAATTTAATAAGGGTGAACTACATATTTTATATATAAATCACATTGGCGTTGTTCTTGAAGACATATCAAAAACATGTGGGCTTGTGAACTCATTCTACCACCGATTCTTTACCTTTTATTTCCTGGATATTAAGCCAGGAGAAAATATTTCGGGAATATTCAGTCTATAATTACTGTTGAAATAAATCTTAACGGTAATAAAATTCTTTTATCCCGACCTTGTAAACAATGGGTGCTTGGCCCTAAATATAAATGTCCAGATGACTCATGGTATACCAGTTATTTAGTATGGTTGACCTACTTTCGTCCTCCGTGAGATCTTCGCCCATACATTGTAGGACAGCTCGAAGGTCTGAGGCACTGATGTAGCCGCACCCTGTTTTGTCGAATACCTGTACAAGACAGAATTGGCATTCTTTTTACTTTTAATAGTCACTCAACATTACTCGTTTTTGCGTTTGAAATTATAACGTTTTTATTGTGGAATATTTGATAATTGTGTTCTTGGACATTTGTTTTTCTCTCTACCAAATTTGATATTCATTTTCAAGATTTCACGATTTTATACCCTACGCAAATACAGTTGTTTGATGCAGTATGCTAATAATGTGACGGTTCTGTATCTTATTACAAATTTTGATTGAAAGGTGCGTTTCTCTTGTGTATTTTTGTACAGTCACCTAGCTATCATAACTATTAATATGGAAAATATCAATTGTCTGTGAATGTTGCCCTGATATTTCATATATTGACCATAGTCTTACCCTGAATGCTTGACGTAACTCTTCCTCCTCGTCCTCCTCTGACTGTTCACTGATACCACCCATGTTGGCCATCACTTGGACGAATTCCTCGAAGCTGAATGTTCCATCACCTACGATAAATAAACGATAAAGGTCTGTGTTCACAATTTTACGTTTCTACCACACACAAAAACACACTAATTTGTATACTGGACAGATGTTTGACGTTTCTATTGCTTCGAGAGATTGATGATGATTGAGACTGTAGGTAGGCCGTGGTCTACAAGCAATATGAATGTGTTATTCACTGGAGGAGTGTCTTTTGTTCAGTTCTCTAGTAAAGCATGACATCGAGCAACCGTCTGTATTCAAAAAAATAACTTTAGAATTGAGAAGCTGTTTACATACAGATTCAGATTACGATTCGTATGTGTCGAAACATTCCATCATCACAAATACGCATTACTAAAGTATATTAGGGGATATCAAGTTTTATTCATGCCTGTTACTTTTTTATTTTGGGGTTTAAGGGTAAAATTGAAGCAAAATGGGTGTATTTGTTCGCCGAAGTCTTCAAGAGGCCTATACTTTTACATGCACCTATTAATCGGGATTTCATTTCATCCTCGAAAATTGCGGAACACGGAAGCCCTCGAAAATCAAACCCTTACAGTAAGCGCTTCACTTTTGGTGAAATACTCTTAGTCTTCGTAAATTGATATTAATGCCATTGATAAGAACATCATATATGTATTGGGGTTTTGCTGTTTGAGACCAAGTTGATATTGGAGGAATAAAAACATGAAATGTTATATTACTGACAGTATATATAAATAGGAATAAAATAATCAAAACAGAGGAATTTCGGTGATGCCTTGTTGTAGCCGTAGCCTAGTCAGTATAGCAGACTTAATGAAAAAATACTGGAATTTCATTTTCACAACTTAAAACAGTTACCAACCGTCTATATCGATTTCCTTTAGCATCATGTTTAGCTCATCGGTGTTTGGGTATTGACCAAGATTCCGCATCACCGTCCCCAACTCGTCAGTTGTTATCGACCCATCACCATCTTTGTCAAACAGCCGAAATGCCTCTTTGAGATCTTATTAAACAGAAATAATACAGCATATACATATGTTTCAACGGCAATCTGATGGAAATAGAAATATTGATATGTAAAATTAATAGCAATTAAAACAAGAATAAACAATACTAAAAAGATAAATAATATTCTGACACTAATAAAGATCATTGTCTAATTTATGTCTAATACTATAATACGAAATATCAACATTTGTTGATTTCTGACTTTTACAAACAATCAATTCACATTGGGTCTTCGTGCATATTTCGTTTTGGTCAGAGTTGTTTATCTTCGAAATCCAAATATCATTCCTTCATTATATCACAGCTAAACTTTTATAATATCTTCACTTTCAGTCTAAACAATTTGAATTAGTTATATCATTGAACGAAATTGATGTTTCTGAAAACGTCACACCAAATATATCAACCAATGATTTCTAGCTAAACTGATGTTGATAACTATGGACGATTAATGCAAACACGCTCAACATTGTATTGATATCTGCTAATTGACAGTTTGCTATGATTGCATATTCACGGGAAATGTGAAAAGGACCGATAATGTGATTTTTAACATTAACAATCAAGCAAATTTACAATACAATTTGGATTGTGATGTCAAATCTTACCTTGCACCTGATTGGATGAATACCTCTGTAGGATGCTTTCATTTTCCTACACAAACAATAAAAGTTCGTTAGTCATGTTAGATTAAGCTATCTATACTTAGAAATCGATACAAAATATCACATGAATGGAATTTTAAAAGAACCATTTCTTCCCCTGTCGACTATATCAATAACAAGAGAATATCAACAGAATCATAATCCAAACTCACAATCAACCAAACTAAAGCAAAGTAGACTCCTGGAAATATAAAAAAAAAATAGTCAGACCAAGTGTTTCGGAAGAGCCAACGTAACTTGCTTCATCAACGACACTCGCCGTCTAAATCTTTGCCAATGGTTAAATTTACTCTATAACAATAATCACGTGAACATGATAAAGGTGATATATGTGCAATATCATGTAAATGAAAATTTCAAAAACAATTGGTCAAGGTATACTGGAATTTTTGTTAAAACATTTTCAAAGACTGTATTCCGGTATTAAATAGTATTTCGTTGTAACACAGGACAAATGATGTTGAAAAATCAGAGCAAAACACGCTTTCTGAGACGATCTTTAAACAGGTCTCAATCTCGTGAACCTAGAGAGGAAACATCAATATCTTTATATAACTGACATTAATGATGACCTTTCTAAAAGAGAACTGGGTCAGTGGCAAGGAAGTCAGAAAACATATGTACACGTTTATATGGATTGTGACCCTTTAAGGAACAAATTGACATTTCGTAAAGGTTAGGTGATGTAGATGTAAATATATTTGGTAGGCGCTGGGCCGATTTCATCTTGAATGCAATGAGGTATTGTAATAACTATTTTAGAATCACCTTCGAGTTAAAGGATATAAATTATTCATATACAGCGTTATGCCGCTAAATGTTTTCCCACGATGCTGATGAAGAATCAGTTTCACAGTTGTTTCGCAAAATATTCGATAGTACATAATTCTGTTTACATTATTTTAGAATAATAAATCCACTATATTGTCGGTGTTTCTTGTCCTCTGTCCAGTTTTCACTTGTTCTATGATACCAGTTTGTCACATGTTCTAATCACTTTTTATTTTCATTCACGACGATGGGCATACTATGTGTTTAACACATACTTCCATCTAACATTCATCATTGCTGATCAGTTCCAATTATCTTAATTTTTCTTTATAAAATCTGTGTTGTCTGACGATATCGCCTGAAAAACATTTTCGATTTGATGCAGTAACTCTTCCTCTTCATGAATATTTTAAAGTTCCTTGATATCAATTACCTGTCATCATTGAAAGTGATCTAATTCCATTACTTTTATCAGATGTCCTCATCAGAAATAGACATAAAACGTGTTTGAACGATCTCAGATAATTTGTTAATGTTCCAACCTAGCTTTTGCTTACATGCAAACACGACAAGATGAAATCTTGTAGCTAATGTTTTATTTTTGTAGGGTTCCTAGAAAACAATTCGATTGTAGCGTGAAGAATTGGTTTAATAGCTATCTTTAGACCTCACATGCCAAACTGACATGTTACAGCTAGTATGTATTTATAGTTCTTTTAGAATCAGTCAATAATGCATATTCTGAAATTTACCGACACTTAAATTGGATTCTTGGAATAATGCACCGTCTCCATATAAAGATAAATCTAACCCCATCCCTTTTCCATATATTCCATATTTTAGAATCCAACAATCAGTGATGAGTCGTCTAAATAAAATCCATTTGTAGGTATGAAATAATAGAATGCTGAAGCTGTATTGAAGGTAATAAAACGCAATGTTCACCTGTGATTTATCTTATAAACAATGAACGAAAAAAAAAAGAGAAGAAAATAAGCATTACATATGATGCAATTTTCAAAACAGCATACCATGTTACAGATTTTGTTCGAGTCAGAATGCGAACATTCTTGTTCATGTATTTATTGTACTTGTACATCTTATAGATTTATACATACATGAGGCAAAGCACCAATGAAAATCAAATGTAATGAAAACTCATTAGGGGCCGCGATAGATCAATTGGTAAGAGCGGTTGTATTTTTCCGCGAGCTGAGAAACAGAGCTGCCTATTCTAACGTGGGTGTGCGTCCATGGGAAAGACACTAGACGGCATGCGACGGGCTTCCCGTATGTTGATCATTGAGGTTGCCACTAATTCCTTCAGAGATGACGCCCACCTCAAAATTACCCTGGCAGTACGATAACAAACAATATAAAGAAAAAAATATTGATCAGACATCACTGATGTCATAGAGCTTCGTAAATGAAAGAACATTCACATTGCTTTACAGATTTCGACCAGAGGACTGCGAATGATGGAAATCTCGAAATTACACCTTTAAATTATCATACCAAATCGCGGTGTCGCGGAAATGACCTATTATACGAAAATCGTTTGTGGAAATATCGGAGAAAGTATGTGCTAATTTTCTATTTAGGAACACTTAGCTATAGTGTATGGAAATGAAAGCTGGCAAATTTGAGTTGTATCAACAACATTTACTCAAAAGATTGCATGGCTAGGGTATAACTTATTTCAACTAGTATAGCATTTTGAAGCTAGACTGTATAGTCGCAAAAATGATAGGATAATATAGATATCCTGATGGTTGCTTATGTAATCGAGCATCCAGTATCCTATCTGAAATCTGTCCCACAGATTGGAACTGTCCTTCGTCTTCAATAAAAAGAAGTTTACACCTCTTTATTGTACAGTGTAATAAGAAAGTCGTGTTGCTGTCTACGGAGTTAAGTATATTTTTACAAAAGAAGTTCTTCTGTGCATACTTACTAAAAAAACCTATATATGATTTGACATTTGCATGTGAAATGTAATCAAACACAAGATATGTTATAGTAGCGATGTCATGAACATGTCTGTATCAATCAATAGTTATGTAACATATCATCAGTTTTGGCTTCAGGCAAATAAGATCAATTTGTCAAGGTGTAAGATAATATCTAAATGCATATTTTTACGAAATCGATACAGTTCTATATCAAGAAATATAACGGTGTTGGTAAACTAAAACCCGAAAAAAAAAAAAAAACAAAAAACAAAAAAAAAAAAAAAAAAAATGGAAAGTCTGTGAGCCTATTTCGGTGTCCTTGGTGGTGATCTATTTATGTCCAGCGTCCAGATTTCATAAAGAGGACATGTAATCGATTTCAATATGTCTTAAAGGAGAAAATGAAGCTTCTATTTGTGTCATATATATTTTGTTGCTAAGCAATGAAAATCCAGAAATACTTACTTCCTACAACAAGCTCGCAGTTTGTTTTGATACTAGACATACGTTTGTTCCGAGAAAGTATATATGCTAGTGTTACAATCATTACAGATGGGATCAAAGAAAAAGCCCTGTACTGGAGTTATCTTTATCTTGGAGTGATTTAAGTTATCTTTCTCTTTCTTTCCTGTATTTCATTTGAATACTGGGCTTCAATACAAAGCATCTACGTCCGGTTCAGGGAAGTCTTTAACGAGAACTCAAGCGATGCTGAAGATATGCAATCCCATCGTAAAGAGCAAATATGTGTACCTGATGGTGGGAAGCATTTCTTTCTACCATTATTACGTAAGTGGAGAAAAGGGGAGTTTACAATCGGCTAGTTGTGGCTGGAAATAATTTAGAATTGAGAAAAGGCTGAACAATATCGATGTAAAGAAGATATACACCACATGAGGTTTGTTTATTGTCAGTATACTGTGCACCTTAAATCTACGGCTACAAAATACGGTTACTAAGAATTAAGAGTCAGCCACATTTATCTCGAAATTTCCCTGAAATTTATCAGTTATGACAGACACTGCATATCTATTTTCATCAAAGCATGACATTACCATAGCTTAACTACACCAAACAAAATCTCAGTCCCTTTCAAATAAATGTTTTTAAGACCATACAAAAGAATATTCATTAAATCAATTTTCGTTTTTTACTTGAAAAATATTTACACACCTGATCTTCAAGTTTCTGTTATTTTATTTTTGTTATTTAGTGATAACAACACTTTTTGTTTTCCCATTCTGCTTACTAAGTTTTGCTCAGTCGCCTCCAAGGTGTTTCAAAATTTAGGCTCTCAACATCACTTTCGAATCCTATAAAAAGCCGTGTTTTGCATTAAATTCTTTGTTTGATTCTGCTGTATCTAATTCCAAATATGTATTGAAAGATGTCTTATGTACTCTCCTTTTTCAAAGTATAAATGTATATGCAAATTAGAATGACAAAATGTGAAGAACATTAACAGGGGAGAAGTTCCCATTGCCAGAATTAGTCCTAACATATAATTCTTCCGATAAAAATCACGTGACATCATGAGGAAAAACACATCAAAATGTTTATTACATAAACCCATGCTGCATTTAATGTATTAACAATTATACATACTTAGCCTTGCGACTATTTTTCCTTAAAAATGAACTACGTATTCATCGTCAAGAGAGAAATTTAAAAGGAACAAATGTAACATCGCAGAGATAAAACATACATCTGGATGTTCTGTTTGATAAGTGCAATAACGCACAAGTATCTATTTAATTTGCTTAAATTGTTTAAGTCGCGCTTTGCTTTGATATAAGCACGAAAATGTATCATAGAAAAAAGTTGCCAGTATCTAAAATTATTATCTCATTTCGGCACTAAATAAAATAGAAATATTACTATTGATAACACAAAGTAAGTACATACCCTCTCGAGTGTAAGTTGTTTCATAAGGCGTTCCATCTTGTTAAATTCATGAATTTAAACTATATACAATATTCCTTAAAAACAGGTTGATGCTGAATGGAGGACCCGGATGTTGATATAAAGTTGGATTCGGTAGTTACATGTGAGTGTTGATGGTGCACTGGAACATCTCTTACTAACGAGATGGTGGTAGTGTACAGCATAGCTAACACATGACTACATCGTTCTCCCAACTCGATAATTGTCCAATAAGGCCTCAATACCGTCAACACTGGTTCTCTGTATACACAATGTGTGATGGAAGGTTTAGATCGAATGTATCGATCTGCAGGTGAAAAGAATATACTGGCATTTTCTTTGATACTTTGCTACAATCCAATCTAATGGTCTGCAGCGTTTACACAACATACAAAACACCAAATTACTTTTTCTTAAAGGAAACATTCAACAAGTTGGATCTTCCTGTTTTTTATTATATACGTCTGTGGTGAATGTTATTCGCCTGCGGGTCTGGCTTTAATCAATGTGAAACTTCTTTCATGAGGTGATCAATTACAGTAATTTGAAGAAATACAGCTCAGTGATTTGGAGAACTACAGCCTATGGGCGTAATGTCAGATGGCACAAAATTGGTCACCAATCATGTCAATATTTTCTTAATTATGTTTACTTGTGGTTATAAAGTAAATAACTTGTAACTTGTTGAATTATTTCAGACTAATGAGATTTATGTTTGTTGTTTCAGGGCCGAGGTATTGATTTTCTATGATTTGATTGTTATCGATTTGTTGAGAGGCGATTGCACCCGATGGTCTTCCGCTAAATACAACACATTGTCTAGAAACGTTAAGGAATATTCTCCGTGTAGCTAGTATCTTAAGTATCTAATTACATCTACAGCATCTAAACTACTCTTACAGGAAATTAAAGAAAGATGAAAAACAGAAAAAAAAACCACACAAAACAAAAAAACAGTCCAAAACGATGTCTGTAGTATTTTCGTAGCTTTAACAAGTGATTTTTTTACTACCACCTTCATTGAAAGCAGCCCTGGTCACATATTCATTCCTTAAAATCATTTCAGTCTCGTATTCTTCACACTTAAGTCCTCCAAGATAGATTATTTCAAAACTTTTTTCAACAAAACAATTACTTTGTGTAATAGCAAAATACATTGTAAACTCAGAAAGAAAATTAAATTCTGAATGTTACGAGTCACCCATAGTACAACAATCATGATAACACCACCATTGCAATATCATCATAATTCAAACTCATATTCCATAAAACTATGGCAAAATATGAACAAAAGAAAAATGTACACGGAGACTCCTGAATAAGTACAAGGAGAATAAGACGGGAAGAGTAAGTGTCTTCTGCTTCATTCACGACACCCACCATTTAAATCTTGGTCAATCACACTAAGTAATGCCACGTTCTTAAATAAGAGCAATGTATACAACAACGGAACCAACAGACAAACTAACGAGCTTCAAATACGTCCAGCTTCATGTCACACAAAGAAATAGAATATTTCTAAATGAGATATCAATGGCTACCATAATTTTCATCAACGTGCACCTTTGGAACGCAGTGATACGCGTTTGTCTGTCAGTTGACAACTTCTAGCATGAAAATTGTGGTACTTGGAACATGACCTTGAATATCTAATCAACTGTGACATTTAAATGCCATAGGTCGGAAATGAAGGGATATTGCTTTCTAGAAATGGTGAATTCACAACAGGGAAACTGAAATCATCACATTTATCATACAACTTGTTGTAAAGCTGTTCATGTTGGTTTCGTTGTAGGAAAAAATCGAGATAAGCAGCTGATGTAGAAGAGTCTGTCGTATCTTTGATTTCCAGTTCTGGTGGATATATACGATGGACGTAGTCAATAAATTTCTTGTTATTTAAAGACAAGACGTCATTAATATATCTGAGGGTGAAATTAAACGACTTGACAAGGTCTTTGTGACCTGATTTGATAAGCTCTTCAGTAAATTTAGCCTCGTATGGAAACAAAAACAGGCAGCCAACAGAGGGGCGCAGTTGGTTCCGCGAGGAATGCCAATAGCCTGTTGGAAGATCTTACCACCAAACGCGATGAAGATGTAGGTAATATTGTGGTATTAAATTGGGAGGTCACTTATGACTTTACAAGTTAATCAGCCTCGATATTAATCACTAACTCGTAAATCAGACCCGTAGGCGTCAAGAGGCGTATTGTAAATTTCTGGTACCATTCAATTCGCTTTTAAAATCGGAAAATGTAAAAAAAAAAAAAAAAAAGAAGTGCCATGTTCCCTTTAAGCCTTTTAAATGCTTATTTCTCTCTCCTAACCACCCTTATTTCGGGAGCTAAGTTCTGGGTACATGTACTTAATTTTTCATCAAGTACATCTGCAAGTAGATCGCAAATAGTGTATATGTTGCCCCATTGTTTGGTAGTGTGCTGCGACTTACCTAAAGATCTCTTTTCTCTTTCTTATATTTTTTTTCTTCAAAACTTCATGTTTAGCCTTGGTTTAGCATTGGTTCCGTCCCCAAGCCGCGGACCAAGATATGGCATACACAAGGCCACGTCAGTACCCCTTTTCAGCAAAATATGATCGGGGAAGGTGCTATGTGACAACGCTATAACATTTCAGTATGATATCACTATAAAAGCATCGGTCCGTGAACATTTGAAGACACCGTCTTCATATGACAAAGGAAGCTGAGAAGAGGTAAAACTCAAAACACTGATCGAACAAAAACGTTACACATCAATGTGATACTTAATTAGTTCCCATTTAATAAAACCATCTTTGCTTGACTGTAGTTATATCGAGAGTTAAATTCAAAACTTAACATATTGAATTCGATTTGTGATTGATTCTTTTCCCCACATGTTTAAAAAGGACCAGTCAGTTAATAGTATATAATACCGGTTTCCAGAAACACAGAAATATTCGTAATTTAGGTTGCATTTTTATAGGGTAAATGAAAGTGTGTTACTGCAAGGAATTAATGCTGTAAAGCGTATTGACGTTGAAATTGTTGTATTGTTCTCTTGATGAACAATACGTCAATCACTGCAAACCCTAACCAATAAAATATGTTTTGGAGTAGTGGGCATTAATACAGACAACAAAACAATGTACTCGTTTACCGCACTATATCATCATCCCATTTCTTTTCGCTTAGTTCGTTTAGAGCTAGAAAAGAAGATAAAAGTGATTCAACTAAATTCTAATATCGGCTACATACATTTGTTATCCTTTGCGGTAAATCCATCTTGTTAGGTGTGTAGCGTGTTGGAAGAGACCAGGGATCATTTCAGTGCATGCTATAAGTATTATTCTGAATGGAACAACACGTCTTGCTTTTGCTTGTGTATATTTTGTATCATTAGTGATTAAATTGTAAATATTACTAATTGCACATAAAATTTGAAGTGAAGTGGTTCATAGGACCTAGCCAGGTAATGATCTGCATTATACAACTGTTCCATCCTTCTTTCTCATTAGTGAGGCTAGGAGTGTGAACTATCAACTAGTCTTGTATATCGCTTTCATCAATAAATTAAGTATTCCCGAATGGTACGTAATTCTGTATAGGGTATCGTGGCTATATCATCTCAAATTCAAACAAGTTTATACGGTTTAAAACAATCAGATTTTCCGTGTCTTTATAATGTTCTGTAATGTTATAATGTATCTTCTCATTCAGCAATCATTTACCAACCTGATACACAAACGAAATTTGAAGCAGTAAAATACTTCAAATGTGAAAATGTTACATAACTCCACGACATCCCTCATTGCAAACAATAAACATCAACAAACTATAGGTAAAGGGCGACAACTCTGTATTGATTGAGCATCAATCTATCTAATGAAAAAAGTAATCCAGTACTATTTGACGTTGCCGGGTAACAGTTACGGTTTCCATTCGGCTTGTTGCAAAATGATTTGCAATTGAACAACATTTTTTTAGGAAATTTTATTGTAGACTTAAACAATATTATGGAGGTAATGTGCTATGAGAAGAATGTATTTCCAAATTAGACAGGACAGTATATGTCATACTGTCCCGTTACTGTCACACATTTACAAAAATCCAGATAAATTAATTTGTGTTACTGACGCTCAAATAAAGGAATGTTCAAGGAGTTCATGGATCTACATGTACAACATTCACTGACAAATTTTCAAATAGTTTCATCGAGATTGATTGTGATTTATGATACTGTTGTCGGCACTTTGTTGTTTTCTATTTGCTATGCTCTCTCTCTCCCTGCCTCCCTCTCTCTCTTTCTCTCCCTCTCTCTGTCTCTCTCTCTGTGTCTCTCTCTGTCTCTGTCTCTGTCTCTCTCTCTCTCTCTCTCTCTCTCTCTCTCTCTCTCTCTCTGTCTCTCTCTCTCTGTCTCTGTCTCTCTCTCTCTCTCTCTCTCTCTCTCTCTCTGTCTCTGTCTCTCTGTCTCTCTCTCTCTCTCTCTCTCTCTCTCTCTCTCTCTCTCTCTCTCTCTCTCTCTCTCTCTCTCTCTCTCTCTCTCTCTCTCTCTCTCTCTTTTCTCTCTCTCTCTCTCTCTCTCTCTCTCTCTCTCTCTCTCTCTCTCTCTCTCTCTCTCTCTCTCTCTCTCTCTCTCTCTCTCTCTCTCTCTCCCCCCCCTCTCTCTCTATCAATAAGTTGCGTAAATTGTCCTATCGATTTATTGCTTGTATTTATGATGTATTTTGAAGAAAAATACTGTGATAAGTTGTGAATACTTATGTCCAATTATTTTGTAACTATTCATTTGGAATTAAATATGTGTAAATCAAACGGATGTTTTAAAACCATTATAACGTTTTATTCGAAACTAGATCTATAATGATTTTCTTCAACTGTCCCAGAAATCTACCTATGTTAGCCAAACAAATACCTGTCACGATCGCCATTTTCTCGACGTTACGTTATATATGTCTATATAAACCAGTCTGAATCACCAAACCCTGGCATTCGTAAAAAGGGTCCCTGGATCATACAGCATATTGACTGTTTGCAA